CTGAACAAGCACTTGTCAAATTCAAGTACTTTGGATGTGTATGTTTATAGTAACCGTGACAAGAAAGAGAAGAGTCATGGACATCTATGATTAATGGGAGAAATTAAAACGCAGAAAACACTCTAGAGTTTGTTTGCACTGACCGACAAGATGAAAACTTTCTTCTGTGGAATGATGTTTCTAGAATTTTGAGAGGTTCAATAGTCTCCTTCGGATGTCTGGACATCCTCAGGCTTAACTGTAACATTTCAAATACTGTGTGGACTTAGGATAACAGGAAAAATAGAGACCTGTCTGGACAAGCTTTTCTCACTATCCCTCACAGGCCAGGTCACTCAGGCTGGAGCAAGGAGCTCACGTAAACTATGTACCACAGTTGCACTGGGTGTGCTGACCCACACCTGCCAGTCCAGAACTTGGCATGTCAGAGCTGAGAATCAGGAGTTCAAAGCCAGCTTAGGCAACAGAGCAAGTTGAAGGTCAGCCTGTGCTGCATAAAACCTTTTCTTAATTCTTAATTCTAAACTCCCTTTTCAGTACCATCCACATCCATGACTTGAAATATTTCTCTTCACTAATGTTTTTTTCAATTTCTATCTCTAAGTTTCGACTTCCCATCTGAGTCCCAAACCATGCAACAATCCATCGTTCCCCAGCTTCCTTGAGCTCTTTCTTTGCCCTGTCTCTGTTCCAAGCAGGGACTTGGATTACCAGTTAGACAGTAAAGTCCCTGCGTTCATGAAAACAAACAGTGCACAGCTGTCTGCTGACAGAGGTGAGTGTGCTGAAGGAAAGCATGGGTAAGATAAGAAAGGGGCAGGATGATGTCAGGCTGTCAGGGTCTCTTTAAAGAGGTGACGTCACACTAAAATTGAAAGAGGAAAGGAGTCCCTCATTCTAAACACTGAAGAAGGAATACCCCAGAAAAACAAACAAACTTCCCCCCCCCCCCCCCCCCCCCGAACCTGTGAAATCCTGGAAAGATGGATGCTAACGTTTTCAGTCCACAGGCATCTGTGCTTGGAGGACTCAAAGTGGGTGACCTGTGCGTGAAGGGAGAGAGCAAGACTCCAAATCTCCGTGATTTTGAGAAACACTCCTGTGAGAACTCAGAATGTATTTTGAAATGCGTCATGGACTGGTCAGTAACTGTTTCTAAGACCTTATTTGAGCCAGTATCATTTCTTTTTCATTTTAGGTTTATAAAAGTATGAGATGATAAATAAATTCTAAGAGTATGACATGATCCCTTTTTCACATCAGTACTTCAAATGTTCATTTTAGGCATCAGAAAGGGAATCATTATATCCAATGAAGAACGTTAACCTGACTTTATTGTTTAAATGAACTCTCACCATGTGGAGCATGGGGCACAGGAGTGGAACACGGATGGGACTCAGCAGTGGAGAGCAGTGACTTACAAGGGCAGGGTGAGGACGAAATGGAGAGCGGCAGAGTGACTCAGAGCACACTAGAGGGAGAAGAGACCTGCTGGTGGATTAGAAATGTTTGTAGGGAGAGGAAAATGTAAAGGATCTACTGAGGCCTCTAGTTACAGAAACAGCTTAATTCACCAGGATGACAGCAACTGGGATCCTTGTGTACAGCAGGTGGGAGTATGGGATAAGTTAAGTGGGTGACTGGGTTGTACCGCACCTCAGTCCATCTCTTCTTCTCAGTCAAGGCTTACTGACCCATTCAGAATGGATAGCCCATTTACCCCAATCTGCTCTCCTCAGCTTCATTCACACATATGTTACATTTGACACAAGCAGTCACTACTAACTACCTTTCCTGCTCACACCTGTCACCTTGTGCCCTGGCTCTCATAAGGGTGCATCGTCAGGAAATTTTCAGTCATTGAGTTTTGCCATGACCACAACGTTGAGGACACACTGGGTGTCCAGCAAATGTCTGTCCTACACATATATGCTCTAGTTCTAATTTCATCTTTTTGTGCCTATTTTAATGTGCTCAGTCATTTACAAACACCCCTTCTGCCAGACAGGAAACCACAGATCTCCCATTGCTGACAGCTCCCAGAGTGCTAAAAGGGAACCAAGCCAGATAAAAATAATCCAGATGAATCTCACAGAAGGGAGCCTACTGTCGACACAAGTATTTCTTTTTACTAGGAATTATTGTTAAATTCCAAACATGACAGAGTGATAAAGGTATGATATGTTTATCTCAGACCAACCAACCAGTGTTTATTTTCACTGAGAAGTACTTCCTGAGAATAGCTCTACTTACACATGAACCCTCATATTTCACATTCTCTTTTCCACTTTCCAACATACACCAGAGCACAGTGTGATTATTTATCATTCACTTAGCATAATAGAGATGTAAGTAACACTGAAATTAGGTCCCTATGTGCAAAGAGTTTATGAGTTCTTTGTAAAAATCCTTCTCTGAGTCAGGCAGTGGTGGCAGATAGCTTTAATCCTAGCATTCAGAGACAGAGGCAGGTGGATCTCTATGAGTTCCAGGACAGCCTGGTCTACACAGTGAATTCCAAGACAGCCAGGGATACACAGAGAGACCCTATTTCAAAAAAAGCCAAAAAAAAAAAAGGAATTCTTTGAAGATTTGAAGATTGAAAACCATAGAAGGCATTAGCAGGGCTGCCTAACAGCTCCAGAAGGCTGCCATTAGGTATAAAAGGAATAAATAACAGGGACAGACCATGCTATCTGTATGGAAAAAGATGAAGGTGCACCATATTGTGGACCAAAGAATTAAATGTGGACAGGCAGGATGTGGTAGAAGATGAGGCTGAGGGCAATGTGCAAGGATGTGTGAGTGACTGGACAAGGAATCTGAAATATGTTTTGGAGGCAGCCAAGAGTCCTTCGAGATCCACAAACAGAGAAGTGAGACACTTATTCTGTCTTCCCACTTGAGATGATGTCCTCCCTTCTGCTGAAGGAGTACACCAGAGGAGCTGGCTACCAAGCCTTTAAAGCCAGCCCTGAGATGTACTAACTAAATGACTAAGTCAATTTATTTAACCTTTCCAGAAAGACATGACAGAATCTTTCCTTTGTTATGAAGTTATCATCATATGTAATTAATTTAACTGGGTCAAACACACATATAAGTTTTGGCTGTTATTATTTGTTAATCAAATGAAAACATGAAAAATTTCTTTCAACTCAAGTCTTCTTTAGATCTTTATGGAGAGAGAGAGAGAGAGAGAGAGAGAAGAGAGAGAGAGAGAGAGACCTGGCTTTTTACTCACATCACTGTCATTTGGATGGCCTAATGAGTAGCATATTTTAGACTGACTAGAGAAGATTACTAAAAGAGAAATCCAGGTTCTCCAGGACCAAAACCAAGAGAATTTCTACATCAATTGATATTTTTCTGTAGAAACAGTTGAAAATTATTCTCATCAGGGAATCCATAGGGTAAAGAGATATTCAACTAGTTGCATTTCATATGTAGTTTTCTTGAAACACATGTTGAATGCTGGGAAATTCAATCGATATACGGATGCCTAATTTTTGAAACAAATATTCCATACAGGTAGGAGGACATTCAAATTCTTTGTGTGTCCAAAGCCTGGCAGAGTGCCAGGCACATGCTGGACACTCATAAACAATGGACAAATAAATAAGTGTTCCCAAGTGTTGAGAGGAAAGGCCTTAGCTAAAATAACCAGCATTAATTCAAAAAGTCTAATGCCAACTCTTATGTCAGGTCTAATATTTATTTATGAAATAGTTAAATAGTAATTTTAATTATGATACAATGATTCGTACTTGTTGTGTAAGTGGTACTTTAGTTTGTCTTTTCATATGCTTTATTGGCTTCCTAGTCTATTACGAAAACTCTCCTAATTGCAGACATGTGAAAAGCTAACAATCATTTCCTATGACTGTTCAAGAGTTCTATTGCAATTAAAGAAAATTGGATTACAGACATGGTAAATAGAAATGATACATGAAAGCAATTTAGAAAAGATTCTCAGTAGATAGCATTTGTCATTATTATTTAATAGGAAACTTCCTGGTAGGTAGGATGTGTGTGAGTTGCTGTAGATAAATCCCACTCATCCCAAGTTAAACGTGACTGGTAGCATTTGTTTCGTAATTAACTTGGCTTATTCCAAATTTCAAGTGATTTTCTAGCTAAAATCATACTTATCTTTATATCTTTGAAGTTTTATGACCTTCAAACTTTATAAATAGACTTGACTTAGAGAAACCCAGATACTCAAATGTGCTGGCTTTAACCTTTCTACTTTTTGCTACTTATGGTATTTACTCAACAGCTTGCTCTTTCACAGACCGTCTTTCACACAGTAGGCATGAACCACTATTTTTAAGCTAAATTTTACTGTATTCCTGGTATGATGTCTAACTCAATTTAGTCACTTGAAGCTATTTCACTACAGGTAAAATTATTTATAAAGTTGGCTTACACCTCTAAATACACAGATGACCAAATCCTATGTGAATAAAATATTCACTTGCTTAGGCATGTGTTTTCTTCGTGCTTTGTTTTGGGGCCCATTTGTGACTTTTTTCTTACAATTCTCCTTTTTACTTAGCTTTATTCAACAGTGCAAACTGCTGCCACATTAAATCAAGCTGAGAAGCCTGCTTGCTCTCTACGTCAGCAGACTTCTGACAACTGAAATGTGATTTGCTGAGCAGCTGTTCTGTGTGCCAGGTACGTACATCCAAGTTCTCTTAACTGGAATTTTCATCATAACCTTTCACAGCAGCCTGTGGGTGTGGTTCTCACTGTCCCAGGGGGTGTTACTTTGTTCCTGATCCGGAACAACAATTGGAACAGTGAAGAGGTTTCAGCGTTTTGTCCTTTTCCCATCTCTTCCCTAAGGCCATGGCTGCACTTCTGAAACCTCTACCACAACCTGATGTTACTATGAACCTTGAACTGTTCTGTGAACATGAGAGACTTCAGACGGCTAGCTTTTAAATGTCTAGACATTACAGTCAGAAACAGAGCAAGAAGAGAATGTTTCTTACTTTCCTCTAGTTGTCTCAAAACTGGATTTTTGATAGCTGGGTCTTTGACCTCCACTGCTGTCACTTCTGCTGCGGTGCGTTTCCCTTGGGGACCTGTTTCCCATGTCTCCGGGCAACTTGGAGGAGATCGCTTGTTGATTGGACTTTCTGGAAAAACTTTGAAGGAATTTCAATGTGGCATTAGCAAGCACCACCTTCTCTGCTCCAGGGCCGGGCTTGGTGATGGGTTTGCTCTGGAGAGCAAGAGGCAGCGGAGCCATTACTGCCCCTGTCTTCTCCAGGGGTGTGGGTGTTTGGCTTCTTCGCTCCTCGGGTTGGGTGTTTGTCTCAGAGGTCTGCAGTGTTGATAGCAGTAGAGTGTCTTCTGAAGGTCTCTCAGGAGCTGCAGCTGCCTTAGAGGAGGGATTCTGAGTGGCGGAGAGCACTTGGAGGCTCACCAGAGGAGCTGAAGGGGAGTTCAGAGTCAGTGGGGCGTTTTCATCCTCCGGAGCAGTCCATGAACGCTGGGTGTTGGTAAGCCCGAAGCCCCCTCCCCATAAACTAGAAAGCAGGACAAGCAACTTCAGTCCCCGCATGGCGGTAGATTTACGCACAAAAATTCATGCGAAATTGACAAAGACCTTCCAGCCTTCCTGAAAGCTGCTTCTGCACCAAACGCGCTGAAACTGGGTCTAGACAATCTGGTGTGTGCAGAGGAAACAGGTTTCTGTGTTTACAGTGTGTTCAGGAAGCTCGTTTTCCTGTTTCTGTAGTTGTTCTGCGATCTGTGACCCTCCTAGGATGGATCAATGGATGTGGTGAAGAACCTCTGAGAAGCTAAGGGGAGAGGGGAAAACAGAGGCAATTATCACCAGGAAAAGCCAGGGGAAACCATAAAGCCGTGTTCCCTTTCCCAGGTATGCTCAAGTCCCTCTGCCTTTGCAAAGAAACTTCCCATTGGCAGTGGAGAGTGGAATTTCTTAGGCTTGATGACAGAGTTTCATATTTTGCTCTCCAGTGTCAGGAAATCGAGAAGAGATGTTGTCAAGATTTTCTTCTCACTGTGCCACACCCAGAGAGCCACACTGTTCAATGCACACGCACAGGCACACACACCAACACAAACAGTTGGTATTGTTGTATCCTTTCCTGTACTGTGGGAAGGATGTCTTATAAATATGCCTCAGTTGGATCATTACTGAAAGTCAATCTCAATAATTATAAGTAATAAAAAAGTCTAAAAATTAAAAATATAACAGGAAAGGCGCAAAGCTACACAGAGAAACCCTGTCTTGAAATAACCAAAAAAAAAAAAATTAAAAATATAAAAGCATATAAGAAATTCATTTTAAATTTTGATCTTAAATTTTGTCTTTACCAGTGACATGAATAACAGAATTAATATTCAGGAGTTAGTGTCTGTACTTTTCAGCTCAGATCTGTGAGTGATGGTGTGTAATTCGGATTTTGCCATTGAGAAATGGATAAAGAAACAATGAAGTCACATAAGATGCAATCAATTGGTATTATAGGTAATGCTACATTATTGCTATAAACTAAAAGCAGATGAGTTTTAGGTAACAAAAAATCCAGTTGAAAAAAATTTTTCTAAGGTAGTTTTCCAGTAAAGACACTTTTTAGAGTATGAGTTCATTTTTCCAGCGTGTCTCTAATTAGGCTTCAGCTAAACATTCCCTATCAGACACTAGACAAATTAACATTATCACAGTCTGAGTCACTCACACATTCATTCATCCAGTCTTATAAAGCTCCAAGCCATGGGAAGAACTTCCTCTTAGGTTCTGCAATTCTAAAGAAAGACCAAATCAAGGATTACCCAGTGTCTCTTTATGTGTGGTCTGTCACATTGTTGGCCACAGAACATATTTTTTTAAGAATTAGGAAACTGATCTCCAGGATCTGTTTGTGGGGCCCGTGGCAGTGGGACCAGGACTTATCCTAGGAGCATGAACTGGGTTTTTGGAGCCCATACCTTGTGGTGGAATACCTTGCTCAGCCCTGATGAAGGGGGGAGGGTCTAGGCCCTTCACCAACTTGGTATGCCAGACTTTATTGACTACCCAAGGGAGGCCTTAACCCCTCTGAGGAGTGGGATGTGGGGGAGGTAGGAGGATAGGAGGAAAGGAGGGAGCAGGAACTGGGGTTGGTATATAAAATGAATAAATAAATAAATAAATGAATTAGGAAACTGGATAGCCTGCAAACTTGTTACAAATCATTACAGATATGTGTTATTGTCCCAAATTATGGAAACAAGACACCAGGGTTTGAAACAAATCTGAAAAATTTCCCTTGATTTACCAAATACCTGTTTGAGTACATTTTCTAGCCTCGAGTTTTGCCATTGATTTATATGATCACATTGTTGACCCACTAGAGACTATAAGATCCAGTGTGACTTAAACCAAGACTCAGAAACCAGCAGCTCTAACTCTGGCATGGACTTCAAAACAGAATAATCCAGAAACTGTATGCATAAGAGCAGAGAATTTAGTGGGGACCCCAGAAGGAAAAGGGCCTCCAACTGCAGAACTTTACCAAGTCTGCTTCTTAGGAGGTTCTCAGTCCTAAGAAGCAGACTTGATAGAAGCCTTGCTTAGAGGAGACAAGAACAAGCAGTTTACAGCAGGGCAGCAGCTCAGAAAACCTTCAGGAAAGTATTTCTATTTAAAGCACAATTTAGTGTCCACAACGCTAGAACCTGTAGAAATAGAAATAGTTCAGACACTTCTGAACACTTGCAAAACAGAACAGTGGCATGGTGTTTCCTTTCATTTTCTTATTTGTTTGCTTCTGTGGTTTAAAAGACCACCTGATCCTAGTCACAGTAAGTGAATGATGGTGGTAAAGGATTAATTTCCTGGATCTATACCTGATACCAACTAGGTTACAAATGGTAATAGGATTGAATGGTAACGAGCATTGCATTTCACCTCTTGTGAGATATTGACTAATATAATACCTGTGCTTGTCCCCATTCAGGCTTACAAGCGACCTTCCGATCAATAGGCTAAAGGTTCAGTATGTTGTTATTGATCTGGTAAGCTCTGCTGGGCTGTGACTGCTCTGAAAATACCTAGCTTACTTGCTGGTGTATGGATCAGTCCTTACTCATAAAATGCTTATACTACAGAAACCATCAAAGGCCAGACCTCAAGTTCTGCTTTCTGAGATTGATTAATAAGCATTAAAAAGTTAAGAAAAAAAAAAACTCCTGGGCTGAAGAAAACTTATTGTATTACTTCTTTTGGATACCATAAAGGAAGGGATCTTAATGAGGGAGGGACAAAGAGGAAAGGAGGGGGGGGGGGAGTAGAGCGAGAGCAGGAGGGAGGGAGGAAGGGAGAGAGGGAAGAAGAGAGAGAAGATGTTTATGTTTCTCTCTTGGGAGCTCACTCTCTTAGTTAGGGTTTTCTATTGCTGCAACAAAACACCATGACCAAATAGCAAGTTGGGGAGGAAAGGGTTTATTTGACTTACTCTTCAGCATTTCTGTTTGCCACTGAAGGAAGTCAGGATAGGAACTCAAATAGAACAGGATACCAGAGGCAGGAGCTGATGCAGAGGCCATGGAGGGGAGCTGCTTACTGGCTTGCTTCCCACAGTTTACACAGACCAACTTCTTATAGAACCCAGGATCACCAGTCCAGGGATTGCACCACACACTATGGGCTGGGCCCTCCTCCATTGTTCACTAAATGAGAAAATACCGTACAGCAGACTCTCAACAAGGCATTTCCTCTACTGAGGTTCTTTCTTCTGATGACTCTAGCTTGTGTGAAGCTGACACACAAAAACAGCCAGTACCACTGACCCCTTGTCAACTTGACACATCACTATTAAGCCAAAACCCTTCCTTTGTTATTCATCCCCAAGATCTTAAATAACATTAAAAGTCCCACAATCTTTACAAATTCAAACACATTAAAATTTTAGTCCAGCCGGGCGGTGGTGGCGCACGCCTTTAATCCCAGCACTCGGGAGGCAGAGGCAGGCGGATCTCTGTGAGTTCGAGGCCAGCCTGGGCTACCAAGTGAGTTCCAGGAAAGGCGCAAAGCTACTCAGAGAAACCCTGTCTCGAAAAAAACCAAAAAAAAAAAAAAAAATTTTAGTCCCTTTAAAATAACCAATTTCTTAAAATCCAAAGTCTTTAGAAATTCAGTCTCTCAACTATGGGCTCCAGTAAAATGTGTTCTTACTTCAAGAGGGAAGAATTAGGACACAGTCACAATTAAATCAAAGCAAAACAAAATTCCAACCATCCACTATCTGGGATCCACTCATGATCTCTGGACTTCTCCAACGGGCTTGGGTCACTTCTCTGGCTATGCCTTCTGAAGCATACACAGTTTATTTTCTAGGCTGACTGGCTCCACTCTACTGCTGCTATTGTTCTTGGAGGTCTTCTCATGATACTGGCATCTCCAAAACACTGGGGTCCTTTGCTGCAACTGTGCTCACCTGACCCACAGCCTCTTATAGGCTCTCTTCATGGTGCCAAGCCTCAACTTCTTTGCATGACCCCTTCAGTCCTGGGCCTTCAACTGCCTCTGAGTGTGCACCTTCACCAATGGCCTTTACTGGCCTCTCACAGTGCCAAGCCCAGTTGCTCTTTATGACCCCTTCATGCCTTCAAAACCAGTATTACCTGGGTGATGCTTACACATTACCAAGTTCACTGCCAGTGGGAGGTATAACCTTGGCTGCCTCTGGAACAGAACTTCTGTGTGTTCTCAGGAAACACTCCCCAGAAGATTTCACCTGAGTGATGCTGGTCTCTCTCTCTCTTTTTTTTTTGCTTTTTGAGACAGGATTTCTCTGTGTAGCTTTGCGCCTTTCCTGGATCTCGCTCTGTAGATCAGGCTGGCCTCGAACTCACAAAGATCCGCCTGCCTCTGCCTCCTGAGTGCTGGGATTAAAGGTGTGTGTCACCACCGCCCGGCGCTGGTCTCTTCTTAATTACTGCTAATTTCTTAGCTCCAGCCCACCAGTATCAAGTATGCCAGCAAAGCACAATTTTGCTTCAGTAGTTCTGGTATCTTGTTAATCACAGCTCATTCTTCAGCCCCAACTAACCAGAACTACACATCTTAATTCAAAATAATAAATGGCCTTGATAGAGTTTTTAAACTTCCCTCTGAAATTTTCTAAACCAGGCCTCCATCCTCTGCACTTGTCTCAATATTCTTATCTTCCAAGTTCCTAAGAAAATCTCACTGAAGTCTCAACACTCAATGACTTTTCCAGCCTGAGGTTCCAAAGTCCTTCCACAATCCTCCCCCAAACATGGTCACATCTGTCACAGAAATACCCAACTCCTGGTACCAATTTGTCTTAGTTAGGGTTTCTATTGCTGCAACAAAACACCATGACCAAATAGCAAATTGGGGAGGAAAGGATTTATTTGGCTTATACTTCAGCATTGTTGTTTATCACTGAAGGAAGGCAGGACAGGAACTCAAACAGGGAAGGATCCTAGAGGCAAGAGCTGATGCAGAGGCCATTGAGAGGAGTTGTTTACTGCCTTGCTTTCCATGGTTTGCTCAGTCCAAAATCTTCTTATAGAACAGAGGAT